AGGAAAAAACCTTCCTGGGATAAGACCTTCCGGGAAAGAGTCTGCTCTGAAGAAAAGCCTGCTCTGAAAAAGTAATTATGGGAAACTTCCTATCGGGGAATAAACAATTCGGGGAAATATCTTTCGAATCCGTGAATCCACCCGTACAACTGATTCACACATTTTACACTTACATTTATAGCATATGTTCAATATGTTCGCCGTTATTCTCGATGCATATTCTCGGACGACGTTACCATTCTATCTGGTTTTAATGATTTTGTTAATCTAATTGTTTCTAATGTTTTTTCTAATGTTTGAAATGGAAGTCCAAAAACCAAATCATGACTTATAGACTTATAACCAATTGATTTTGCTAATTCTGTAACTTTTTTTACATTTTCAAAAGGCTGTATTCTATTTATAGCTCTTTGAATTTGCGGGTCATAGTCTTGAACGCCAAAACTTATTCTACTGAAACCTAAATCAAATAATGTCCGAAGGTGATCAAAACTCGTATTATTTGGATGCCCTTCAATACTAAATTCTTTATTTTGATGAATTATTGAAGAGTTATAAATATGATTTAAAAGTGTTTTTAAATTATTTGGAGAAAAAAATGTAGGAGTCCCACCTCCTAAATGTAATTCTTTTATAACTGGTTTTTCGTTAAAAAGTGAAAGGTATAAGTCCCATTCTTTTATAAGATATTTAATATACTTCTCTTCTACGGAATGATTTTTTGTAATCCTTTTATGACAAGCACAAAAAGTGCATAAACTTTCACAATAAGGTAAATGGATATATATACTTATACCTTCTTTTATATTTGATTCATTAAAAGATTTTTTTAATGTTTGAATCCAATCGTTCTTAGTAAATTTATCAAATTCCCAAAACGGAACAGTAGGATAACTTGTGTATCTTGGTCCTGGAATATTATATTTATTTATTAAATTTTGCACAAAATATTAAAATAAGCCATTAACCTCTGCTTCTACCATATTAATAATTTTACTTAAATCCTCTGGATTATCTACAAAATCTAAATTATCTACATTTATAATTAACAATTTACCTTGCGAATAACTATCAATCCAATTCTCATATTTTTCATTTAGTTTGCTTAAATAATCAATACTTATACCTGCTTCATATTCTCGACCTCTTTTTTGAATTTGATTAACTAAAGTGGGAACTGAGGCTTTTAAATATATTAATAAATCGGGTGCTTGAGTGTATTCGTTCATTAAATTAAATAAATTTAAATAATTTTGATAATCACGAGTTTCAATTAAACCCATATCATGCAAATTTGCTGCAAAAATATATGCATCTTCATATATGGTTCTATCTTGAATAATATTTTTACCGCTTTCTCTTATTTCTTTAATTTGCTTAAATCGAGTGCCTAAAAAATATATTTGAAGATTAAAAGCCCATTTTTTCATATTGTAATAAAAATCGTCTAAATATGGGTTATCGTCCACCTCTTCAAATTGTGGTATCCATTTATAATGCTTTGACAATAATTGCGTTAAAGTAGTTTTTCCTGCTCCGATATTACCTGTAACTGCTATATGCATGATTTAAAATAATTTTTAATCGGTAAATATAAAAAGTATTTTTTTAATAGAATAAAGTATTAAGATAATTGTTAATAAATTAATCTAATTAAAGCTGTTGTATTTCCAATTTTAGTTTTAAATTTGGAAAATATAATTGATAAATTATGAAATATACAGAAGAGGATTTAAAAAAAGATATTGAGAGCAAAGAATATGAGCAGGGATTCTATACAGATATCGAATATGAAGATTTTCCAGTTGGGCTTTCAGAGGAAATTGTTAGGGCTATTTCTCAAAAGAAAAATGAACCTACATGGATGACTGATTGGCGAGTAGAGGCTTATAATATATGGGTAAAAATGAATGAACCAGAATGGGCAAATGTAAAGTATAAAAAACCAGATTTTCAAGCTATTAAATATTATTCTTCACCTAAAAAACAAGCTAAATATGAAAGTTTAGATGAGGTTGATCCAGAATTAATTAAAACTTTTGAAAGATTGGGTGTTCCAATTAATGAACAGAAAGCCTTAGCCGGCGTTGCTGTAGATGTTGTGATGGATTCTGTTTCAGTAGCAACTACTTTTAAAGCAACATTAGCAGAAAAGGGGATAATTTTTTGTTCAATATCTAAAGCTATTAATTCTACAACGGCAGCATGCAGTTGATTTTCATCTCTACTCGGAGCTGTACAGCCTTCTAAAT